CTAAAAAAAACAAGTGCCACCATGTGATCAGTTCCACATATTGAGGAAGCTGGGATAATATTTAATGCATGCACACACACACACACACTTCATGTTTAGATATTAGGCTGGTTCCGAGGACCCTCTGCCTAATTCACATCGTTCATACCCACCATAGACTCCGGTCAGTCAAAATAACTATTTTGAACTGTAGGCATTAATCTGCGATTCAGCCAATGACAGAGAAATAAATCTAGGTCAGGGAAAGCCCCATGACCTCAAGATTTTCCGTCATGTGGCCTGGGCCATGAGGCACAGCCATATTGGCCTACTTGTCACTCTGCTTCCTTCGTTCCTTGCACCACGGACTAAGCCAACGCTATGGAAAAAGTGGGGTGGTTGGGAGGGGACCTGGAGTCTATGTGAATAGGCGGGTTCGGGAAACCCTCTGTCTAAATTCACTACGTTCAATTACCCACCATAGACTCCGGTCAGTCAAAATGACTATTTTGAACTGTAGGCAGAGTCAGACGCCGATATGTGGTGGGTTTCCGAGTAAACAGAAAGTGATGAAAAGGGTGTCCCAGTCCGGGATAATGCTCTCCAGTAATAGACTACCACCGAGTTAGGACCAATACAGGAAATAGTGTCTTACCTTGCCGAAGCAAAATCCAAAATGATGCCACGGTGATGGGGTTTGGTGTGCCCGGGAATGCTAGACCCCAAACCAAAATTCTTGGGTAACTAGCTTGAAATAAAAACCGAAACAGTTTGCATGAGGGCATAGGCCGAAAGCGAGACCTGGAAGTTCCAGGGAGTGCTGATGGTAGAAATAGCTGAGACTGACTTATCGCATATGTGCAGGGATCCCTGTGGTCATTCCGGCTGGGTCAGCAACCAAAGTCTGACCCGCTATGACGGGACCCATCCTAAAGGACCCTCCTCAATGGATTGAGTATCTCTTAGGTAGTAGTTGATAAAGATGTTCTGCGTTCTCCAAAAGCCTTCCTTCAGTATGTGCTCTAAGGGGGCACCTGACACCACTAGTGAGTTACCAATCGCACGTACCTCATGCGCCCGTACTTGGTGTCGCTTTAAACCCTGTATTAAAACCTCGAGCCTGGTCGCAGTGATCCACCTGGCCATGGAAGTCGGGGAGGTTGGTCTGTTCTGCTTACCCTGGCTATAACACATAAACCTGTGCTTGCCATGCCTCAACTCCTTAGTATGGCTTTCGTAGCAACTCTGCGCTCGAACCGGGCACAGAAGCAACTCCTGATCCTCCGGGTTGTGAATGTTGTCAGTTGAGGGGGTGACGATCAGTTATGGACTGCGTCCTGGGGATTACTTCCTGGCGAGAGCCCCAATTTGTGTCTTTATCACAACTTGATTGTTCACAAAGGCAACACACCCGTCCGAGAAGGACAGGGACCCTAGTTCAGCCCGATGCCTACCTGAGGCGAGGGTGAGTAGGAAGACTGTTTTCCACGTCAAAGGATTGAGTGGTGATTCAACAGTAAACAGTCCCTTAATCGTAGGACAACCAGCTAGCCTCATCCCCACAATGGTGGGTGAGAAAGCCAACAATCGCCAAAAGGACAAGTCCATTTCGTCCAAACAGAGGGATGGCATGGATCTCCCTTCCACTACACCAATCAGTGTACGCAAGTCATTTCAAGGCATAGGCTGTGTTGGTGGGATCCCTGTTCGCTCTGGCCAGGACGTTGGAAGCCCACTCAGAAAAATCTCAGTGAGTCAACTGAGCCTTGATGCGTGTAAGTGGTACACAGCTGGGCTCAAAGGCAATGCACTGTCAGGTTAGAACAGCAGATCCGGAAGCACCCCTGGTTTTTCGACTAACATTTCCAACAGTTGTTGAAACCAGATCTTGCTTGGTTTATTGGGCGCCACCCGCATCAAAGTGCAGATGCGCTCCTGTCGAAGTTTCTCTAGTACCCGGTGAATAGCGGGAAGGGAGGAAAGGCATACATGTCCATGTGGCTCCAGGGAGTCGACAAAGTGTCCCTGGCCCAGGCTCCTGGAGTTGGCAGGAGTATTGTGTACGTCAGGAGCTTGGCGTTCCGGGGTGTGGTGAATAGGTCTAACCTTGGACCGCCTCACTGCCGAAACAGTCTGGAGGCTACCCATTGCGGTATCCGCCACTCCGTATTCTTGAGACGGAGCCGTCACGGTAGGGTGTCCGCTTGACTGTTTCTCGCCCCTGGAATGGGGTGTAGGGATAGCTCCACATTTATTCCTGGTACCAAAGGAGAATTTGCTCCCCTGGGACTGACAACGATGGGGATCTGATCCTCCCCCTTCTTGTCGCTATAGGAGACCACCACTGTGTTGTCCGTGCGAAGCAAGACTTTGTGGTCTCAAACGATGGGTAGAAACGTGAATCCCTGCCAAGCACACTTCTTTCAGTTCGAGCCAGTTGATATGGCAGCTCTGAATCGAACGCAGGGGCCATATTTTCCATTGGGCTTGTTCATCCTAAAGGTGCGCTCCCCAACATGTGAGGGAGGCATCTGCAAGTGCCTCTCCAGTTCCCGTAAGAGAGCCTGGTGTTGCAACAAACGTGCACTGTAATGGGCGGCTGCGTAACGCGGCCTGGGGGGAACTTCCCTGCGAACCGGGAACGCTGACTAGGCGTTCGGCTAGGTCGAACTGTGTTGATTGAGGGTGGGACTTGCTCGATTTACTAGGAAACACAACTGGTCTAGAAAATCTGGTGTCAGCTTTACTGTTTGACTAACCACCCATTGTTGGGTTGTGTAGCAACCAGCCATTTAGGTGCACGTTGATGTGATGTGTACCAGCACAGCAGCAGCACCACCTGTTTCCACACTCTGGTGAACATACACTCGACTACTTGGCTCAACCGGGCGAATCAAGGGAGTCGCTGACTGACTGGGTGTATTGGTATGTGCGGGTGAGTATCGCTCAAATCTAGCAAGGCTAACCATTAGAAACAGAGCACGGAGAATAATATGGTGCTCGGCGTTTCCAGGAAACTCGTACTGATTTAGTCTGCTTAAGTCCAGAACAGGGTGCAGCCACCTGTAGTCTTTGGAACCACCAATACTTGCGAGTAGGAGCCCGGACTTAATGCCGGGTCCCCTATCCTCTGTATAGCACCCTTTGTAAGCAAAGTATCTACCTCCTGTCGGATTGCTCCCGCCTTGCGGTGGTCCCCTGGTAGTGCCCCGAGCGGGGGCTGGTGCCAGGGAGGTGGAGATTGCAGCAGGATCTTATAACCATGTATCACCATCTGGACAGTCCAGGGATTGGTCACACGCTGAACCGGTATACACTAGCCCAATCAATGAGACGGATGTGTGGATTCGACAGTTCCACATCTGGGTGATCTCTCCTCCATCGAGGTGAGAACCCGTGAGGCCTGTAGAAGTCGATAGACCAGGAGAGTTCTGCAGTTGGTATTGCTTTGGATCCCGGAAGAGACAATCCTACCGAGAGTGACTGTTGCAGGATCGAGGGGGGTTGAACATCGGGTCACAAGGAACAATGTTCCTTCCTCGCCACCTGCCACCCCCATCCCCCACACCACCCCTCCCCGGCATGGCTCAGAGTCATTATGAAGAACAGATTCTAAGGTTGCACCCGCAGTGTTGTTGTTTTTTATATTTTTGTATGGCCGAGCAGGTCACCTCCGTAGTGGAGAAAAGACTCAGGAAAAAATGAATGCCTTGTCTCTGGGTCCAACAGACGATCCCTGGCTGGCAGAATGCGGGGGGGGGGGGGTAAATGACAATGTACAATCCCTACCTTGCTTGGTCCCTTCCGAACTCGGAGGCCTGACCGTCAGCCCCTCTGTTGGTATCTGTGGACTAGGTCTCGATGGAGACCCGGTACCACCAGCCTGTGCCCCTCCTGCCTCCCAGAAGTAAATGGGAAGGACGGGCTGTTATCGGGGGGATCCCAGAAGGAAGCATCATGCATGCAAATATAGCCTGCTGGTGTGCTTCTTCCTGCAAGGGATGCAATTTGTCCCGGCAGGTCCACAACCAAAGCCCAAGTCTCGTAGGCAAGCCCTGGCGCCATGCGAGGACTAGTCCACAGAGGGACCTGAAACGAGCCCCATAGGAGTAAACACCTCCAGGGGCACAGCCTCGCCATTGTCGGCATGCTTGGGCAAACCACCGTCTGAAACAACAGACTGTGAAGGTGCCCTCTGATCAGCAGGGGGCGAGAAATCCTGGGACCTCCACTGTCAGGCTCTCACTCGACATCTCGGTACACGAGGCTCCGGAAGACGAGTGGGAGGACTTTTCCGCTCATGCCAACACACCACTCACTTACACCGATTTTACTGGACGCACGACCTTTGCTGTGATGACAAGCGATGCGGCCAGTCTCAGCAATTTCAACTTGGCTCTGGAAAATATCCCTGGCCTCAGAACCCCAGTTATTACAAACGCCTTGTCGGCAAAACCCCAAACTCCGCACACAGTCTAAGCACACATAGCATTTTTAATACGGGTTCCACGATGGCAAATTCTGATCACAACCGCTACACAGTCTCCTCGTGAATTGAGGGGACAAAACCAGCAGCGATGAGGCTCTGGCGTGCCTGTCCTAGCTTCTATCCATTTCAAAAAACACATTAGTAAAAATGAACAAGACATGCATGAGGGAGACGAATTACAGTTGAAAGCTGACACAAAGAAAACGAACAAAGTGGTCAAATTTGGATTGTTGTAAAAATTGTTGGACCGCAATGTTTCATCCCGCTCAGTGCGGAGAAAGAAACACAGTGACGAGTAGGCCAATATGGCTATGCCTCATGGCCTCGATCACGTGGTCTGTGACGTGAGAGAAAATCTTGAGGTCATGGGGCTCCCCCTGACCTAGATTCTATCTCTCCATCATTGGCTGAATTAATGCCTACAGTTCAAAATAGTCATTTTGACTGACCGGAGTCTAGGGTGGGTAATTGAACGTAGTGACTTGCATTCTGGAATTGAAAGTGTGCATGATAAAATAAATGTTTTAACACGTTTCATTACATCCACACATTCCAATCTTTAATGTAGGCTTTCGCGATTATAAACAGTATATATACCACCATAAAAGATACATTGCACTAGCTTTGAGGTGTAAAGTCACCAACTCAGGTATTCATTATTTTACTACATGAAAAGCAATAGACTGACAGTTAGGTACATTATGCCACATAAAAAATCCCCTCAGAACATCACATAATTCAGCCAAACAAGGAAGGGTGGGGGTCATTGCAGACCAAAATAATTAATAATTTCAATCACCACATTCTCAAGAATATATTCATATCTATTACACGTTCATGTTACTATATATAAGTATTATTTTTGACGCACATGCAAAGAAAATGTTCATTTGGATTGCTCAAAGACGGTGATCTTCAAGAGTTTTCCAGGCAACATAATATTTTATCGTCATGACTACCACCACTATGGCGGCCATCTTGGAAGTTACCTGCAGTGCACTGTGTATAATTGCTTGAGTACTCCAATACACGATTGAGTGCACTTTTTTATAAAATTAGTATAATTTGAGTGATATTGTATGTAAATATTTTTTACATATGAAATAGAAAAGTCTGTTCATCTCGAAATTCTTTCAGTGCACCATACAAAATAGTAACCATGACAGTGAATCAGTAATTCACATTACATTTTTTTTTTTTGATTTGAATTAAATCAAAAATACAGTCAATGTACGTTGATCATATGCGCTAATCACTATGGCGACCTTTGATCAATTTAGTTTAGCCAATCCAAGTCATCATCATCATCGTCGTCATCTGGAAATAAGGGAGGAGGTGGCTTTGGTTTGGTGACCTGAAAATTAAACAGTGAAACATATTTTAAATTCAAAATTCAGCTTAAACCAAAAGGATATAGTTGCATTTAAAGCAATAATATTGGTGACAATATGGCTTGTGTAAATCATTTTTAACCCTTTCGATCCAATAATTTACCGATCAAAATTTTGGTGAAACTTTTTGCCTGATTTTATATGTATTTAAATCATGAAAGTTTTATGAATGAATGTTGGCAAAAGTTGATTTTAGTATTCAAAGGATTACAAATGTAAATACAAACGTATTTAAACAACTACAAGAGAAACATTTTAATTGTAGAAACAGAAATGGCAGATTAGCTCCACACATACTGCCACAATACTTACATCTTCATCACTAGACTCATCTTCTTTTTTTTCCTCTTCCTTCTCCTCCTCCTTTGTGAATTCAGGTCCAAATGTGTCCTCTACAGCATCAGCGCCATCAGCACCAAATATATTATCACTAAAATACAATGGATGTGATATACTTTTAGATTTTTAAGCTCTGTGGTGTTGATTGACAATTACTTGACTACATAGATTAAAATCAAAGAAAGCTTAGAAAGAACTCCCGTGTGCTGAGAGTATTGAAGACACATTAAAAATTAATTAAAAATTACTTGTACTTGAGATATTGATAGAATAGCTGAAAACTAATTATGTAAATCAGGTAACTGATATGAACAGATTTAAGTGTAAAACTAATAAGGTCTGCACAATGTACCAAGTTTCATTGAAATGTGATTAGAACCCAAAAAATATTAATTATTATGCTAATTAGAGAGTTAATATGAACATATTTTAACCCAAAATTAATCAGGCTGTCTATTGTCCTAGAGCATTTATGTACCAAGTTTTATTCAAACTGAGATATCAGTATTAATTAATTA